GGTCCTCCACGGTGCCAACAGACGGACATTACACGGCCGAGGAAAACAACAAACAGCCTCCATCGCTAGTGAGTTGATGCATAATATGCATTGTGGATAAATTAGGGCATATTAAACAATCGGTTAGCGATGTAGTTGCTTGTTGTCATTTTGAACTAGAGTCTGTGGGACACAAGTTGGCATTTATGTCAGTTTGCTGTTGATAATCGTGATCAAATGGAAACGCTGGTCATTGGAGTCTATTTAACAGCGTCAATATCATGGTATTGCTCTTGCATGTCTAGAAGGGACTCGTTTGTTGCATATCACCCAATGGAGGACAAATAGCCCGTCAGTTTTTGAATGGATAAACAAATTAAATGTATCAATCGCTTACATGCAATATTAAGTTCTAGTTAGAGAAACAGAAACAGGAAAATAGCATTGGAGATTTTGATTAACTCTCCTGTCAGTATGGTTAGTCACAGCTTAAGCTGCTGTAGCCAATCTGTTTTAGTAGGCATATAGTCCTTTAAAATAAGAAATATAAGACATGTTGTGTGTGTTTCCACCCTATAGGGGTTGAGTTTTTTATTACCAGTGTAGGTTGGTGTTAATGTCTGAGTGCCGCCATGGCAAACAGGGGACCAAGCTATGGGCTCAGCCGTGAGGTCCAAGACAAGATTGAACAGAAGTATGCTGCAGAGTTGGAGGCTCGGCTTGTGGGATGGATCGTGGCCCAGTGCGGTGACGACCTGGAGCGACCTGAACCTGGCAAACAGAACTTCCAGAAATGGCTCATGAGTGGAACAGTAGGTGCTGAATATGGAATATGAGGGAGGAAGGGAGGTGTTTAAGAGGTCATTTAAAATTGTTATATTAATGTCAGCAACTAATTTTTAACATGGGCAACCTTTGGTAAACCTTTTCCTGTATCTTACACATCTGAGAGCTGGAATCATAATCTGGAATGATAATCACATTGTGGAATAATAAAATAATCATGTGACATGATGATTATGACACCGTACAATGAAAAGGCATTGTGGATGTGTGAATGTGGGAAAAATTAGGTTTAGAAACAATTTTCAGCAATTCACAGAAAAAAAATTTGAAGTAGAAAAGCCAAAATAGTATTTTCTTGTCAAATATACTTAAGTAGCCTAATATTATTCAAGTATTCAGTGCATTTTGTACCATATTGTCAATTAATATGCTGCATCTCAATTACTGTGCGCTAAAAGCGTTAACTTTGCTGATGATGGGAAAGAACACATTTTTGAATATGTAAAAAGACAGCGCAAACATATTAGGACACTGTCTTGCCATGAAATTGTCTTCTTGATAGCACACACACCTCCCTATTGTTGCATTCTCATGTAAGCATTATGCATCTAACTAAATTTGTTATCATGCTATTTTACTTCAATTTGTGGTATAAAAAAAAATCCTGGCCACTTTTGTGTTTTTGAAAAACATTTTGGGTAGTATTAGCTGAACAATTATGCATGGATACACACTTCACAGATGCACCGGAAATAGTGCACCATCCAAACATGCTTGAAAAACACTACTATGATTTGTGAAGCACTAATTGTAATCTTGCTCCAGCTATTTAAGACCCATAATATGCAAAAACTGAGATGGAGCGATTTTACAGGACACCTTTATAAGTATAAGACACAGACACCTTTCTGTCTCTTATCTGGCAGAACTTAAATGAAATATATTTCTCCTTTCACTCTTTGCTCTTCCTGTCTCTTAACCCCTTGCCAGATTCTCTGCCGGCTCATCAACAGTCTGTACCCCAGTGGTGAGGAACCAATTAAGAAAATTACAGAAACTAGTATGGTCTTTAAGCAAATGGAAAAGATTTCTCAGTTCCTGCAGGCTGCTGAAGATTATGGTGTCAACAGAGGAGACATATTCCAAACTGTTGATCTTTGGGAAGGTAACACACACACACAAGTGCATCTTCCCTGCCACTATATCTAAACTAGCACCCAAACTGTGTACATCAGTAGATTTAAAGATGAACATCATTTTTACTGTTTCATAACAGGTCTTTTATAACAGGTTTCACTTCATTAATTCATTTTGAAATAGTGAAGACATTTTGGACCCCAGAAGTAAGTGCATTACCTAAAGTATGATTTTATTTGATTTGTACTTATTTGGCAAGTTTACAAAACTATACAAGAAACACACAAATATCCCATACAATTTAAAAACTGTTAAAATAAACGAATAAAATAAAATAAACAGAATAAGGTCTTCAATGTTATCACAATATCCCTATCCTATACTAATTTTAAAATAACACAACCATCACATACTATACCTTCAAAAAATTACCGAAAGAACACATACAAAAGATTACTCAAATTACTACTTTTTTTTAAGCCTTCTGCAATTTATCTTTCATACTCTGTGAACGACTACTGTACCAAAAAAGGCTGCATAATTGAAGTGAGGTTGTATCGATGCACCTGACAACAACTTTAGGTGTGAACATCCAGTAAATCCAATTTAATTCTACCGCATATTTTATTAAGAGCATTTCTACCTATAAATTCACCTGTTAAATTATTGTCAAGAAGACACTCTAAATAATTAACAACATTCTCTGATTCTATAACCTTATCATCAAAATTCATCATAAATCAGCATTTTTATGCAGTCTCCCACTTAAGGCAAACAGAATGGACTGAGACTTACCTAAATGCAAGGGAAGTTTATTACCCAAAAACCAAGTGGACACCTCTTGTAACTGACAAGACTTTCTATCCTCAAGGACCCTTTTGCTTTGACGAGACGCTAAAATTGCTGCATCATCTGAATGAAGAGTTCCACCAAATATGTTAATTTAAGATCATTTATATTAGAAAAAATAAAGGACTTAAAACGCTTCCTTGAGGAACACCACAAGTAATTGGTAACAAGCTAGACAATATACCTTTAACATATACTCTCTGACTTCTATTTTCAAGATAAGATTGTACCCACCTAATAGCCTCTTCATTGCAACCTATTGCCTTTAATTTATACAGTAAAATGGAATGATCTACAGTATCAAAGGCCTTCTGAGATCTAACATAACCATTCTGTATAATTTACTGTATCTGTATCTTTCTTATCCTATCAGCAGTGTTGGGGAGTAACTAGTTACATGTAACGGAATTACGTAAATTAATTACAAAATAAAAGTAATTGTAATCAGTTACAGTTACTAAGAAAAACTTTGTAATTATATAATTGAGACTTATCTTGTTTAGGTTTTTGGGGGATTAAAAAAAAAGGAATGAATTTGTATCATTGTAGGGTGGTTGTGTCCACACACTGCTAAGACACATTTATATGCAAAGTAAGATACTTTGCATCCAATGTCTCCTTTAAAATTAAAATATTATAATCTCAATTTATTTCAAAAGTCTGACAGTTATCAGTGTTGAGCACATATTGTAAGTTTAACCCTGCCAGGTTTACATGTTTAAAAATGATTAATAATTGAAAACATTAGAAATTTAGAAAAGTAATCAAAAAGTAATCAAATGTAATCAGTTACATTACTTTAATAAAGTAATTGAAAAGTTACACTACTTATTACATTTTAAGTAGGGTAACTTGTAATCTGCAACCTATTACATTTCCAAAGTAACCTTCCCAACACTGCCTATCAGTTATAACATATGAAGTCTAAAACCCGACTGAAGGTCATGCAAAATATTGTTTCTACTTTATTCAGTCCGGTCATTTTCATTATCTCTGACAACACGCATAGGACAGATATGCGTTGCCTTTAATCAAATATATTACTTTAGTAATATAGGTCTATAATTTCAAATCATAAGGTTGCATTACAAATAATCCTTATCCATCATTTTGACAATGAGATGTAAATTTTAATTCATGATCTATTTTCATGTCAAAAATCCTCATTAGATTGATTAGGGTTGGAGCTAAACTCTGCAGGAAAGTGGACCTCGAGAGTCAGAGTTGAGAACTCCTGATTTAACTATTGTCATTAACATGGTGTTGGTGTATATAGGACTGTACAAGATGCCTTTGGCAAGCACTATGTCACAGGTATCATGTTCATGAGGCTTTTCGCTCTGCTTTAAAGGAAAGGACATGGCTGCAGTCCAGAGGACACTGATGGCTCTGGGAAGTGAAGCTCTGACAAAGGATGATGGACATTACCGTGGAGATAAAGACTGGTTTCATAGGTGAGCTGGACAAAGAAGGGTGTCACCCGTTAGCACTATGACTGAGACCCCCAGTCAGCAAACTATCTGGGCTTTTGCAGCAAAGCCTTCTTTCCTGTTGTAAAAAAAGTCTAAAAATACATTTTATCTAACTTTCATTTCCTATGTATATCCAGTCACTTTCAGCTTCTGATTATGTCCGCTGAGGCTTTGTCAGCATCCAAAGAAAAGTGGAGAAAGTTTATCTAATCAGATCTTATCAATCGCAGCCCATGCAGAATTACCAACAGTGCAAATGAGTAGAATCTAAATTCAGATTCATCAGCCAATCAAATTGTTTTATTTGTACCTGGTGGGTGCAGTCTTTGCAGAGGCTATCTAGCTGGCTTTAAGTCAGTCACGCATTAAGGGATGTAGGCAATTAGAGTGTGAACAGTGCAAGAGACCTTCTGTAAGAACTGCCGTTTCATTACAAATGGATTATTTTCATTTCAAATAATCATTGGTAAGTGCTTTTGGTGTTATCTAAACTGGCTATTGCCTATGTATCCAATTTATGATTCACTGAAGTTAAAATAGGCTTTTGTGACAGATCCATAGATCCATTGTGGGCAGCAAAACAATAGTGTAGATGCACCTTTGGGTGACCCGATCGAGCTCAAGGTCCGCATAATTATGAGATGAAAAGTTGAGAGTATGACATAAAAAGTTGAAATATGAGATAAATCGTTTTACTTTTTACCTCATAATTTCAACTAGTCATAATTATGACTTTTTTTTCATACTTTTTTGTCAATTTAGACTTTATTTCATGACTTTTTAATGTCATGTCATAATAATGACTTTATATCTCATAATTATGTCTTTGTATCTCTAATTTCAGCCTTTTATGTCAATAATTTTTTACCAAAGCATGATTTTTTTTTCTTACATGACAAAAATTAGCATATACCATTTTCATGTCTTGATCATCAGATTTGTTTAGACTGCAAAGACAACCAGTGGCACTGCATTGGCTTAAACTAACTTAAAGACCAAAATCAGTGGCGGAAAATAAGAAAAAAGCTGTTTTAATTTATACTTGAAATTCAGTGTTTCAACACAACTTCTGTACTTTGTGGACTGGCATGTGTTCGCATAGAGCACAAGATAGTAGAGTGTCTCACTGGTCTTGTTGTGCAAGTGTCACAATCGCAACATTACAAAAGGCCAATGAGCATGTATGTAGAGAATTAGTGGCGTTGGATCTTTGAAATACATTCTGTCGTGTTGTCAGTGGTAAAACAAACTTTGTTATTTTTCAAAAGAAAGACCAGAGAAAATCAACCCAAATTTCTTTGCTGTTGTCTGCAACTTGGACCAGACTTTATGCCAACAGTCAGAAGTCTGGATCTACGGGACTAAATCAAATACAGCTGCTCCATCTCATGCAACCTCTAAGCACACACTTCCTGCATGTTAATGTTTTTATTATGTTTTAGGAAAGCCAAGATCCACAAGAGGGAGTTTTCTGAGGAGCAGCTGCGTCAAGGTCGCAGTCTTATCGGCATGCAAATGGGAAGCAATCGTGGAGCATCTCAATCTGGCATGGTAGGGTACGGCACCCCACGGCAAATCATGCGGCATGACTCTCCTCGACACAATGGACATCAGAGCAATCCCTAAACACCATACAGTTTGATATTTAAAATCTGTACTGGAGCCAAAAGCCAAATCTAGAGCTCCAGTTGTAGGAGGAATGTGTACGTGTGTGTATGTATATAGATAAACCATGGACTGATGCTGCTTACACCAGTCTTTCAATTACACACATTAGTGTTGTCCCTTCACCCACAATGCACCAGTGCTGGCTGTTATTGTCAGGCAAGCTCCAGATCAAGGCCAAAATGTGCAAAAAAACAACAATTTAAATTGAATATAGTATCAAAAGGCTCAACTCTTAAAGTCTCTGTAAACATGTAGCCCTTTAAGAATGCTGACAATCTGGCACTTGAACGTCTAACGTCCATTTATAATTACGCATTTGGATCATGCTTTTACCCGAAGCAACATAAAAGTCCATTTAAGGAATTGTGTCCTGTGAAATTAAACCCAAAATATCGGCGTTGCAAGCCCATACTCTACCAACTGGGCTGAATGAGTTGTGCATGCTGTGCAATAGGAACATTCTGAAGAAAAGTCTATTTTTACTTAAAGCCGTATGTAACCAATCAGTGTGTCAAGATATACAAAATAAACAGTGCTTAAAATATAAATGTATTTGATTAAAGTGATACTGTGCTCAGTTGCTACCAAATGTACATTATTGTTGTTGTATACTAACTATAAAGGTTCCTGTTCCTGCTAGCAGAATGCGCCAAACTAATCCGACTCTTCAAAAAATGTCGTTGTGCAGAAATTGCTGATGTCACTGCAAAGAAATGATGCTATACACTCCAGTGATATGAGAAAAGAACCGTTTGCTTAAGAGTCCGAATCAAGTAAAACTGATACAAAAGAATGTATTTATTAAAAGTCATTTTAAATGCAGCTATTTTCAACTTTCGTTAATTTTATGCATTAACATGCATGTAAAGTAAATGTGTTTCTGATGCTAAGACTGTATTGCAGATTATTATATTTATTTATTGTGAAGTTTCACGTTTGTATCTATACCTTTGACAATCAAAATACTTTCCAATTGTCATGACTGAAATATTTGGCTGTTTAGTTCCGTTTTTCTTGTTTTTATTTTTGTGGTTTGATTTTAAATCCATTTATTTATTAGAAAAATTCAATTAACCATCATTAAAACATTTTTTTTTCTATTTACTAAATGTCTTAGTTTAGTTTAAATGTATTGGAATGTAGATACATTTGTTTTTTTTATTCAGCATTGTTTGACTATTGTAAAGAGAGGACTAGATATTAGTCTCAATTTTGAATGTGTGCACAAATGTCTATCATTTCGATAATTGTTGCAAATATATCTTACTATTCACTGGTAGTTGTTTATGTTTTTAGAAGGTAAACTCTTCACCAGACCATTTTGTTCAAATTGGAATATTGGTTGATATATTTACACAAAAGTGAACCACTGTATTCACAAATGTGCCTCTACTTGTACAAATCATTGGACGTTTATTTAATTCTGACCTTCACAGACACAAGCTGCAAGGTATAGTTATTGGTTTGTGGCGAGATACATTTGTAATGTCTGCTGAACTAACGGATATTTGTACACTCATTCATATAGTTTCGGGGCCAATTTCTTTACAAATAATTTAATACTGTGAGGTTTAAGCATTTTAGATTTCAGTGTTATGTCAAAGTAAACCTGCACTCTCACACACAGTGTATTTCATTACCGGTCATGAACACTTAAGTGGCTTGCATAACTAATGGTAACCTGCTCTTATCAAGGTAGAAATGGAAAAGCTTTCATACTATGCATACAGGTGACAGTAAACAAACATGAGTTTATTTCAAGAGCTTAGCGTAACATTCTCCTTCAGCTGATATACATGTTCGTTCTGCTTACTATTAAACATCCAAACCATCACAATGGCTACACAATTTTGTCCACAAAATCTGCCTCACACATACACTCACTCACTCTTGTAACAATTGAACAGAAAGAATATGGAAACTAACTGGAATGAAAACAAATAAAAAACAATGGCGCAAAAGTACAATGTCTTTGTCTTCTTTCACTCAGCCATCTGGGTGTCCATCTGCCTCTTCCACCACTTCAGCATGTTTAAGCTGAAAATCAAAAAAATATGTAAGTTCATCCACATAACCAGGACAAGAGGCATAGGATGCGTGTCGTTTCATTGGCTGGGTGATTAGATGCCAGCTTGTGCCATGCAGAGTTTCGTCGATGAAAATCATCGATGGCACACCACATGGCACTGATCTAGTCATAATTTTGACCTACATATTCCTTAACAGAATAAAAAATTAAAAAAAAAGCACTATTAAAAGGATAGTTTATCCAAAAATGAACTCATCCTCAGGACATGCAAGATGTAAGTGACCTTTTTTTCTTTAGTAGAAGAGTAAAGGAGGTATTTAGCTGAAACCGTAGTCCTTGGTGATTCATAAAATGCAAGTCTATGGCTGCCGTCACTTTGAGAGTCAAAAAAGCATATACAGGCAAATGAATACCCGTGGCTCCTGATGATATATTGAGTTCTTATGAAGTGAAATGATCAGTCTGTACAATAAACTGAACATAATTTACAACATTATTATCTGTAATCCAGAGCCTCAAGAAAACGGGGAAGTCCACTTCTTTTTCACAAACTGGTTCTTTCAGACAATTTGTTTCAATGAACTGGTTCAAATAACCGATTCCCCAGTAGCAATGACTACATATATACGCAATTATATTACTAAAGCACCCAATAATGATGCAAAACGTGGCTGTTTATAATGTTGTAAATAATGTCTCTTGCACAGACCGATCGTTTTGCTGCATAAGACCTCAATATATTGTGAGGAGCCACAAGTTAAAACGCTTCTTTAAAGGGGTCATGATATGAGAAACCAAATTTCTCTTGATCTTTTGATACAGAAGAGGTGTTTGTATGCTTAATACATCCTGCAAGTTTCATGACTTCAAATGGCTTCATCGTCAATAAAAAAGCATTTATGAATGATTAATTCCTCAACGAAACACTATAGTATTTATAATTATGGTCTATTAATTAGCCGAAATAAAATGAAATATATGTTAAATTTAAACTGTGTTCCAGCAAAAATTCCAGTCAGCATGATCAAAGCTTTATTGGCATGTTGAGCATTTACAGTAGGCTAATATTTACAAAAGTATTCAGAACGTTAAGTAAAGAGATCGAAATGAAGGGAAAAAAATTATATATAAACAAATATAAAAATATAACCAATAATAATAGGCTAATAATAATAATATACAAATATTACGGGAAAAAGACGATCAGTTAATGGACTTACAAGACTGTAGGATGGATAAAAATATTTTCTTGTAGGCCTATTTTATATTATGCACTTTATGTAACATTTATTCATGATAAACTTCATTTGAATGCTGACTATCGCACGTAATACAGCCCGGTAGTCAAGGCCTATGGTTAATATAATGATTTAATAATATAATAATTTCTATAATAAAAAATATAATAATTTCTTAATTCAAAATAAAATATGAATGAATCCATCTCTGATAATCCCGGGTTGCTATGGTCACGCAGGTTTGTTTACGCATTAAACTCGTGGCCACGAGAAAAATATGTTGTTCCCTCAACATAGCATCTCGAGGCCACGACATAAGGATGCCGTTACCTCGACAAAACGATCTCGTGGCCACGACATAATATCATGTTCCCACGAGTTAATATGACGTTCCCTCAAATTAATATCTCATGACCACGACATATCACGTTCCCACGAGTTATTATGTCTTGGCCATGACAAAACTAAGTGAACCGACCATATCACCTCCCGGGCACCGTAGGCCTGAGAGTAAAATAACAGCAAATCTTCATTTTTGGGTGAACTATCCCTTTAATTATTTTAATATGCATCAGCAATTTTCTGCATTAAACTCACAATGTAGCCAATCACAGACCTATCTGGCCAATTAGAGGTGTTTTATTTGGTCAAAATTCACTCACCCCTGAAAACAGTTTTTAAGCGCAGTTTTTCAAGATCATGAATCATCTCATAACAGTGCAGATGCTATTTAAACAAGTGATTCATAGTGCAGTTCAGAGAGCTTCACTGATTATAATGGAACCTTGTGAGATTGCCATAAACTAAGATGAGTGACAGCTTTTTAGTGATTATAAAGGGAGCGAGCTTTGCGCACTTTCTAGACTATAATCCATTCAGAATTTTATGAAACTTGTTTTTCGGACACATACACACTGCAAAGTTCCGGGAATGATATCCTCATATTTATGCTGGATTCACTCTCGAAATAGTAATGACTGACATAGTGATAACCATAGCAATGGACGAGACAAAAAATATATGTGAGAGCACCCTCAGTTATTTAATTCTGGAACTAAGAAATTGACCGTTCGCAAAAAGATTGATTGACAGGCAATCTGGCCAATCATAACGCAAAATCCACCATCTTGCCCGACAAACAAATCAGACAGAGTAGATTAATTTCTGTGGACTTAATCTTGAAAAATTGTGTATTGACGTTTTTTCATGGTTGAAATAAAATACGTTATGATGTTCATTAGTTTATTTTGTGCTTTAAAGCTGCAGTCCGTAACTTTTTTGTGTTCAAAATTTACAAAATTTATATAATAAGCGAGTACACCATGAATCCATTTTCCAACCCGTGTTTTTGGCTTGTCCTGAATCACTACGGTACACCTATAATAAGTGTTTATATTTGGACTATTTAGACTGGTTCGGGTAGGTACCGCTGCGGAGTAGCCCAGTACCTGCGTGATTCACCATAGACATAAACAGAGAGAAGTAGTTCCAGCTACAATGTTCTTCCGCAAGACGCACGCAGTTCTGTTTATTATCCGCTAGAGCGCCAAAAGTTACGGACTGCAGCTTTAAAGTCCCCCTGTAGTGAAAATCAAGTTTTTTATGTTGTTTATTTGTCTATGTGGAGTTTTTAATATGCTTTTAGACAAACCATGTGCCAATCTATTAATCAACACCATTGCTGTGTATTTTCTCCTTAAAACTGTAGTTTCCCAAAGACTGACCCAGAAATATGGTTTGAAACAGCCCTTGGTTTGCTACGTCACAAACCAATAACCAATCACGTCAAGGGATCGATTCCTAACACTAGCATGCAAAATATACCAATACCAGCACAAAACCAAAAATAAATCAGAGCAAAAAACCCATGAAGCTGTGGTTTAATGTGAATTTAGAACCGCTAACTTGCATGTAAAAGTAGCCCGGAGTCTCCCGCAGCTCCGTCTGCACTTCACACGCATATGCTCGCGGGCGCGAATTAACAATCACAAACGGCTGCATTCGAGTCTTCAAGGCATTTTAGGACACAACATCGTCAAGTAAGTAACTTTAACGAATGTTACAGTATTCACTGTAGTTGTCCGCAAGTAAAAATATAGTTTTATCAGTCATTATCCGTGTATGCCATTGTTTTGTGGTTACTACAGTTCAGTGGATCAGGAGGCGCTGGCTGGTGTGTGACTGAGTGGAGGCGGGACTAATTTGCATATTCATATATCCGCATATAGTAAATGAGGCAAGGGTGTAGATTTACATTCAAGCTATTTTAAGGCATGATAAAATTATTTTCACAAGAAAAAACATTTAAATATGTCATTTTGATGATCAAAGATAAGTTTTAAGGGATAAAATATTTGACTACAGGGGGACTTTAAGTAAATATGAAAAGACGATCGGTTCACGTGTGCCGCTTGAATTGAGGCAATACAGCAATCTGTCACAATACATTAAAGAGCCACAAAACGGTATTTATTGTTTGAATTTCTTAAAAAATACAATTTTAAAGCTGAGACCTTGTTTCATACCAGAAGTAACCTGCTCTGTCTTGTCTGTCGGCGTGTTGACAGTTTCCTCTTTGCTCCGCGATGTATTTATTACTGCGTGAGAACATGGTGTGTAGTGTGAGAGAGGCATGGCTTGTCGGACAGAGCAACAGTAATTAAGGAGGGCAGGTTTTTGCGAAGGGTCAATTGAGCACGTTCAGAGCGAGATTCAGTTCATGGTACAAAAGCGTGAATAAACTCTATTGGGATCAGGACATATCAACCAGCAATTTCATAGCCAGTAACAGATGGTAGAAAGTTCAGGAATAAATGGCTTTGGTAACAACAATTCACAATTGACAGATTTCTAGTGACTGGATTTGGCAACTGGAAAAAATTCAATGAACATCAGAAAAGCAGCATGTACATTTCTGATTAAAAATTAAAAGTCCCTCGGCAGACACTTAAAATGAAAAACATCACCATTCAAATAAACAGCAAGAGTCAGAGGCAATGTTATTCTCCTTATCAAGTTATTCTTGACTGTGCCATATTGAGAGCTTTTATGCTGGGCTGTAAAATATTGTTGATACTTGTATCCGTAAAGACTTTTGAGAAAGACATTTTTGTGCCTTTTTTTGCTAATTTTTTTTTTTTGCCCCACCGACTCAAGAGTAGATTACTTACAAATTGTAATCCGTTAGCGAGTCCAAATTACATGACAAAAATTGTAGTCAGTAACATAATCCATTACATTATACATTTTAGGTAATATAATCAGACTATTTTTTGATTAATTTTAGATTACTTTTGTCCTAACTCGTTTATCACATTGATTTAAATAGGATAATCTTGTACCATCATGATGTAAAAAAATACAAACAGTAAGAAAATATATTCCATTTATTGAAATTAACAACATGAAGTGTTTTAAACATTATATTACATCAAGGTTTCCCAAACTGGGGTTCGTAAAGGAACTGCAGGGGGTTTGTGAGTTTAATGAAAAGCTAAAAATAAATAATTTTAAAATAATCAAATTAAAACACTTACTAAAAAATGAAATATTTTATGTTTACCTGCATGCCATTTGACCATTAACCAATGTCAGCGAACTGTGTGAACACGCAAATGTGATACTTAATTATTAAAATATTTATTTTAAGATCTCAGGGGTACTTAAAGGGGTCACAAAAGGGGTGACTTTTTAAATTTTAGGTAATGTGTAATGTTCCTGTGTGAGCATAAACAACATTTGCAAAGTTCAATGCAAAGGGAGATATTTTCTTTTACAGAATTATCTTTTTAAGGCCTACAACAAACGGCTGGTAGGGACTACAACAAGTTTCTTCCTTGGTTTGTGACATCATAAACCCTAAAACCCTGCCCCCGGGAGCACACAATCACAACACACTGGGCCAGCTAACCAATCTGAGCCCATTGCGTATTTCTGAGGAAGTGGTTTCATCTAACCAGGAAGTCAACAGACCGTTTTTAGGAGAATGGAAATAGTGGTAAAATATATGAAAAGTAATGCAATTTTTTTTAAAACGAAGCATGAAGACGTGTTACAGTGCCCCCCATAAACACTATAGCAAAATAGCTGGTTGACTACACCTTTAAAGGCAATGCATTAGGTGAAAGAGGTTCAGATGACAAAAAGTTTGGGAATGTCTGCATTACATGTAAATAATGAGTTTGAAAGACAAAAGCCTTTCAATAATACATAACACATGGTTAAATAACCTACAGAGTGATAATTCAAATAAAAATGAATGTTCATCAGTAGTTGATGCAATGTTGAAACACTTCTAAAACCTGAAATGATTTTTGTAAATCAAATGGTCAAATGCCATGTAGCCACCTGACTAATGACTGATCTCTGTGTGAATGTCCACAAAACTGGACTTTCTGAGTGTATATAAGCGGCAGGCTATTTTAGAAAGGAAAATTTCAAAGATGAAAGAGAGGAATTAGGGAGAATGAATAAATTATGAATAATTTATTGCTATTGTGTGAATAATAAGAAATCATCATCTAATCTATAAAAAAGTAACTATAGTCTGATTACGAGTATTTTAAAATGTAATTTACTCTAATTACAAGTACTTAATTTTTGTAATCTGATTACATAATCCAGATTACATGTAACCAGTTACTACCCAGCTCTACTCACAACAAATTTTACTTTTATATATATTCATGTTAACTTTACCATACAATTCAACTGTTATGTGGTAACAGGCGTCACATTATGAATATAGCATTTTATTATCGCTCTTCTAACTCTATTGCAGTCACCTTGATGTTGTTGTAGTGTTCAAAGCTGCGGCAGTGCTCTGATTTTGCTCTCTTCTCATCAGTGTAGAATATGTTACACAGCTTGCAAAAGAAACCAGTCACTGGGATGACGTAGTTCACACCTGAAATAAGGTAAGATAGTTTTAGAAACTGAAGAAATAGACATTAAAGACAATACAACTTCAAATTCTTTGGTCATTTTTGTTGTTTATGAAGCACAACATTTTGTTTAAAAATCACCACTAATTTTTGTGTTAAATGTATGTAAAGCAAAATTTTAAATAGTCAAATAATTATAGCCAATATAGACCCTACTCTTGTCAGACTCTGTTCCGTGTTTTGTGTATGTTTTGCTCTGTGACCCAGTTTCTGTCCCCCGCGTATTCAGTTCATTCATCCCAGGTGTGTCCTATGTTTAATTTCCATTGATCCCAGGTGTGTCTCGTCTTCCCCGTGTCAAGTCCTGTGCATTTATAGTGATTCCCATTCTAAGTTTTTTTTTGTCCGCTGTTAAACGTCTGTTCTCCCTGCTACGTGTGTGTCTTGCTCCTGTGTTCCCTTGTTTAGATAAATAAAGATGATTCCATGTTGATCTAATCCGACGTCTCCTCGATTCCTCATTCCCCCACAGTAGCAGTAGCCGAATCGTGACAATATGCAGAGTTTTGGTTCAGTGTCTTGTCATCCCATCATCCTGTTCTGTGTATTTAAAGTGTTCCCATTCCCTAGTTCTCTGTCTGCTGTTAAACGTCATCCTGAGTTCGTCTCCCTTGGTTCATGGAATTAAACGTCTTGCTAAAGTATTCTCCAGCGTCTCCTCGTTTCTCTCTAGTGGATTGGGACAGAACAGCGGACCCAAAAAAAGCACTTTTCTTCGCGTTTGTTTTTTCCGCCTTTGTGCGAAGTTTTTGTTTTCCTTGGTTTTCCCCCACGCGGCTATGGAACTT